CTATCTATCTATCTATCTATCTATCTATCTATCTATCTATCTATCTAATGGCCTTGCATCAGTCATGCCAGGTCTGGAAGCTTGATGGCTACTCTTCTGCTCTCCACCCAAGATCTATCACTCAATCCATGTTCTTAGTTCCTCATGGATTAGAGAGGAATGCTCTAGCTCTAGCTGTCACCGCAGAGGGGTGGTCATTCTGGCTGCGAAAGCTCAGGGAGGGAAAAAACCTGAGACCTCAGTTCCCCTCCCACAGCCATGTGCCGCTGACACTCTACTTCCTGGGTGTTACTGAGGTTTCTGCCCCAGGTTTGTCCGTTTCCCGTGTGGCTCACTGCCTTGCCTGTGCGGCCACAGCTCTCTCCGCTGATTAGTCTTCTGTCTGACTCACGTGCAACCTCTCCACACGCATGCCCTACTTCACCTCCTCCTCCACAGCGCACACGGCCACGTGCCCCAGAGAAACGCGATTGACAAGAGGCTGTGCATCCACTAGCACGGCTAACACGCTTCATGCTTCTGCTTGCTGGAAGGACCCTGCTGTTTGAGGAAAACCACATCTGCTGACTGTAAAGGGGGTCCGTAGTGTTCTCTTCTAACATGTACTTTCTGCCCAGGTCTTCCTTGAAGATCTGTCATGGTCAGATCCACTGGGGATCAGCCACAATGGAAAAACAGTTACAAGAGCAATATCAAGGTCGGGAGGTATCCAATATAAAGACACAGAGTTGACCTGCTTTCTCCCAGAACTCAAATAATGTGACCAGGGTCTTTCTACAGGGACGCTGGCAACCCTGGGCCAGGAAAGTGAAAATGCTGTCAGTGAGGTGACTGTGTGGACAGGAGCTTCCAACCCAACCCAAGGAACACTGGCACGAGAGTGCGCATGCCCAAAGCCAGAAGACCCATGAGAGGAAAACAAGTGAAAAGAAAAATGGACTAGCACAGGCTAGCCCGGGATCCGCATATCTGTGCATGTTGACAGGCTTTCTAGGTGCATGTGCTAGCTCTCCAACCAGGCCTGGCCAAGCTGGGGTGATTCACATACGATGAAGTAGCTTTCGGCAGCCATGTCCACAAAGAACTTAGGAACTTCAGAGCACGGGGGTGGGGGAAGTTTCTCAGCATTGGCATAGTGGAAGAAGAATGTAAATACATCAGAATAGAAATAATCCTTCCTCCTCTGCTCCCATTAAAGGATGGCCTGGCAGAGAAGTGAGGGCCAAGGCTGTTTGTTCTGTGGAACCATAAGTGGATCTGAGCAGTGGACTGAGAAGTGAGGCCATCAGGAGCTGGCCTGTCTCGTGAGGCTTGTAATATAGGGCTCCGTGCTGTCTGACGGGCAGTCTAGGCTAGCCACCGCTAAGAGAAGCAGAGCCTCGCTTCTACCTAGTACTGTGATGTTCATCTGCCTACACAGCATCCATTCCTACAGGCCACATGTCTGTGTGAACCTCGGGGGAGGGGAGAGGCTCAAGGAATCTGGCTCTTACTCCAACACGTCCAAACTTCCCTTGCCAGCAGAAAGGAACACTGGGTAGTGAGGCTAAAGCATTACTCAGCCTCTGCCTTGCTCCACACAGAGAAGGAAGGAAGTGGAAACCTCATATGCTCTCTAAGAACTTAAACTTCAGAGGTACCCCACCCCCCGCTTTAGCAGGGGACCTCTTAGAGTTTCAGAAAAAAATGACAAGAGCATCCATCCATCCATCCATCCATCCATCCATCCATCCATCCATCCATCACCTGGCATTCCAGGCTCAATGCAGTAACAAGCAAGCTTGAGCTGCTCTCAAGCAAACCTCTAGGCAACCCAAGACCCCAGGATTTGTGTTTCAGTGTGAAAACAAGACTCTACTCTTTTGTTTTTAACCAGCAAAGTCACAAAGAGGAACCTGGATAGGAGACACTTCATAGACCTTTCAGTTCACCCTCCTCGCCTTTCAGCTAGCGACAACGTACTTTCCTCCATATTCTCTATGCTCCCCTTCTCTCCTTTTCCTTCCTAACAGTGGGGACTGAACAGAGGGCTTGTGCATGCCAGGCAAGTACTCTAGCATGGAATATAGCCCTAACTCTGCTACTTCTTGTAATTCATATTCTGGACTTTCTCAACGAATTATGGCACAAGGTGGACGCTAATGCCATTCAATTACCTCCTGTATTTTATCCTCTTTAATCGCTATATTTTTCTGTTTCAGGTAACCCCCGTTGGACTGTTAGCTCTGGGCAGACAGGATATTAACTGTCATGTAGCTGCTACACTCCCAGGCCCAGCACCAAGTCCTGTGGCAGATGGCCAACAAACATCTACTGAATGAATACTGAATGCTTAAGTAAATAATGACCGAGGGATAGTGGCTTAGTTTACAGGAAGAGTCAGGTTCAAATAACTAGGTTGGCGTTGCTAAGGCCTCTGCTCTTGTGTACCCGTGTATACGGAGGCGGATGCAGAGACACACAGTCAGCCGGGCGGTCAGGTGGGAACTTCGTGGAAAGGAGCGAAAATACTGATGAGAACGCTTATTTCAGGGTGAACGAAGAGCTTTGTCATGAAGGCCAAAGGTGCTGAGGAGCTAAGGAGGGTCGTGGCGGCCTAAGACAAAAGCTGCAGGGTGTGAGAGGCCTTTGTGAACTCGGAACATCACCGCTTCCAGGTGTGGCACGGGAATGATGCCGGGTGTGAACGCTCTACACACTGCCTCCTTTTCACACCGGGGCTTTCCGTGAGTGGCCTGCATGTTTAGGCCTCTGGCCCCGAGGATGGCACAGAGCGTCGCAAGCAAAGCCTTTCATTTCACCCCACAACCCTCAGTGACGTCGACTGTTTATATTCTCAGGAGGAAACTGTTTTGTTTAGAAACCAAAGCCCACACTTCTGGCTCCACAGGCCTAAGGACCTAGTTCTCAGCCCTTACCCAAGAATCTCTAGGCTCTGAATTACTGTTTAATTTCCCCCTTTCCACTGAAAGTAGAAACAGCAATGGTTTTTATTGGTGCCTTATAATGTTTTTATATGAGGCACCTAAATCTTCCCTGAGATACCGATCACAGCTGTAAAAGGTTTCATTATTATTTGTAGGTAGATGCTAATTTTCCCTTTATATTTTCACAAAGAAAACACAGTAAAGGAGGTTTTATTCATATTTACAGCCCCTGTCCTTCTGATCTGTGACACACTGCAGGAAGGTAAGATTCTAAGCATGCCTGATGCATGAAACTCTTTGGCCTGTGATTTACGGTGGTCATACTTCCCAAGTGACGAACTTCTCTGCCTGCTTATTGCCTGGGATGACCCTGAGGGGAGAGACCCCAGCCATAGGTTATTTCCTGTCGGTGATGTTTATAGCATATGTGGAAATTTCGGGAAGCCGAACAGAGATTTTTTTTTTTTTTTTTAAGACAGTAAAAGCTGATGCTTTGTATTTGAAAGGAAGCAGTGTCATCATGAGACAGGGAGGAGCTGACCGAGTGAGGAACAGAGCCGAGCCCCAAAGCCCGGCAGCTTGTTCCAGGCTGGGGACAGCAGGAGCGTGGGTAGTCAGGCAGGGTGGGAGGCGGTGCTGGGGACTTGGCTGGCCCCGGGCGTGGGGGCCGGAGCCTGAGCCTCGGCTGCCTACCTCGGGGCTGGAGCAGTGTGGAGGCTTGCTGCCCTCGCTCTCGCTGGAGCTGCTCTCGGTCTCTGAGTCGGAGCCGGAGCTGCTTTCTGAGTCGCTGGAGGAGCTGCTGCTGCCGCTGCTGCTGCTGCTGCCCTTGCTGGACGGCACGGAACCTCTGCAGTTGGTCTGCTGGACCACGGAGCTGCCAGTCCACCAGGCCCCCCAGGAAGGAAAGGGAAAGAAAGCCAAGTGAGCAAACAGGAAACACCAGCAGACTGCCATCCTGGCAAAGGAAAGGGGAGGCGCAGACTGCGCACATCTGTCAGGCACGACCCGGGCTCCCAGCACAGCCGTCAAAGCCCAGAGCAGCCAAAATCAGACAAAATTAGACCCAGAAGTGAACTGAGAGTGAACGGTGCCCTTTCATCCTGGGCTACTTAAAAGGAAGGCGGTGCACTTATTTCGATGTTGCTGCTGTTGAGGCTGGCTTTGCAAATGCATCCCTGACTCTAAAGACCTGCACAAACTCGAGAAAACCCAGAAACCCCAAGATAGTTTGCAAACTGTCAAGAATAATGTTATCTTTGCCTCGGAGGAAAATGTCTGGTGGCAAGGAGGCTGCAGGAAGGGGACAGGGCTGGGCTGTGAGCCTTCAGCCTGCCGGAAGCTCCCACAGACTTGGGACTGTCAAAAGTTAGACGTCTTGCTTCATTCCTTTTTATTCCACAGTAGAGGCCAGTGCTGTCATCACTATGGATGCCGGGAGGGTGTGCGGACAGTAGCTTTTGAGTCCCTTGCGGAAGAACTGATTTTTCTTCACAACACATTTATAGGGTCTACATTAATAAAAATCACTCCCAGAACAGATAGAAAGGGCTTCTTCACCTGAGAATCACTTGCGTGCTGGAATTCACCACATTGACCCTATACGTACAACGGAGAAATCTGATCCATACTTTCTTTTTCGTTTTTGTTAATATTTTAACTCTAGTTATTTAGCTGTTCACTTTACACCCCAACTGTAGTTGACCCCCACTTTCAGATGGTGATTCATTAACCAACACCCCTCAGAGATCACATGCCTACCCATCCACGTGTGCTAAGTCCAGAGGAAAACGCCAGTACTCGTATTGCTCAACCTCCTCCAGGCCGCCTGCCGAGCTGAACTGACCCGCTCCCGAATGTGCCCCTCTCTGGTCACACTCTAACCCCAGGAAAGGCTGGTCACTTCTGAAGTGCTGAGTGGGCAGCAGTCTGTCCGCCACTCCGCAACTGTGACTGACCATGGCTTCAGCAGGACTGAATGGCCGGCCACGAGGGATGCGGCTTTCGGGCTCCGGGTCTCAAGTGTCACAGAGCCTGGACATGGTACAGGCTCCTTCCGCCATCCCTTAGATCTCAGAATGGTTTGCCTACGGGTAATTTCGTAAAGTCCCCTTTGTGGGGGCTGGGCAGAGGCAAACACTGGGGTCCTTGCTTCTCTTACCGAAGTCACCTCAGGGAATCAGGCCACAGGGAGCACCCTTCTGAACAGCAGAGTTAGGGGACACTGGAGTTTGGACATAAAAACTCCTACTGGTCTTCATTCCTTCTGCCAATGTCACATACCACCCCCACACACTATCTGCCTGAATTCTTCAACCTCTGACAATATCTGCAGGTTGATGTCTTTGTCTCGGCCTCAGAGATTTTGGTTTGCAGTCTGCCACTGGTGTCTGGCAGCAATCGGGGATTTTGAGATGGAGGGGACAGGAGATAGTTCATGCTCAAAGGACTAAAATATATCTTTTTCCTCATGATGAAAATGTACCTTCCAGTTGGCTGAATGGCGATGGCTAATATCAGTGAATTATTGCCTAGGGCTATTATCAAAGGAATTATTGAGGGGGTGGGGAAACTTGGATTCAGCGGAGCATGAACATCTGGGATCCACATTAATAGTTTTTTGGTTGGCCTCTAAAACATGAGGACACACACACACACACACACACACACACACACACACACACTCAAAACTCACAAAAACACAAAGCTACACACAGTCTAGAAGCTTTTTTCCCCCTGATGGAAACAGAGAGTAAACAAGAGATCTCCTTGCCAGAGTCTAGAGCCACGATTCTCAACCTGTGGGTCCCTACCCCTTTCACAGGGGTTGCCTAAGGCCACTGGCAAACACAGATATTTATATTATGATTAGTTAACAGTAGCAAAATTACAGTTATGAAGTAGCAATGAGAACAGTTTTATGGCTGGGGGTCAGCACAACATGAGGAACTATATTAAAGGGGTGTAGGGTTAGGGAGGTTGGGAACCCCTGAGCTAGGATTTGATCAGGATCCAGAAATAAAGATGAACAAAGACGACGTTGATCAGTTTTATAAAGCAATGGTCAACGCCCTTGAATGCTGCGTGTCACTTGTTTGAATTCACGTTGCCGAGGTCGTGACAGTGCGGCGGAGTCCTCAAAGCATGAGTGGAACTGCCTGTGGCCTGTCCCACGGGTGAGGGGCTGTCTTCTAAAGAGAGGGGCTTTCAGTTGTGAGGATATGCCCATGACACATTCATGTGCTGCCTTCCTCTGCCACCACTCTTCTTCACGGATGAGGCACAGCAGCCGGGATGGTGAAGGCACGACCACGGACCTGAAATTGGTTGGCAGAACAGCCTTGTTGTCTCATCCCTCTGCCTTAATGAAGTAAGGAGATTGGTTTGAAATGGCAGTTTCACTACCATACTATTTTGTTGTTGTTGTTGTGGTGGTTGTGGTTTTTTTTAAAATAAACAAAACATCTGGGAATACCAAGGACTCAGATTTTTCTTCACACTTGGCCTGTAAGAGCTTAGAGGCTCACCATCCCTCTAGGACAGCAGTAGAAAATGCACATCAAGTGATAAATTTGGATCTTTCCCTGGGCCTGTGACTTGTCCCTTGTCCTCGTCAATGGTGATGTATCACAAGGGAGACAACAGTTTGGTGGTATTTTTAGAATTAATATGCCAATATGCTGACACTCTGTACTGTTTATGGATTTAACCCCAGAGGTGGCAAAAGAGTATTTGGTATTCATGTTCCTCTGATCTGAGGAGAGAGTGTACAGGTGGAAAACATCCATGTCTAGGCAGGCCTTAGAAGGACTCAGCTCTCTACCTGTCCACCTGAGAGATCTGTCCATCTCTCTTCCTGTTTTACAAAGAACAGCTCTACTAAGTGGTCTTTGCAAGCATCCCCGGGGAACATGTCAACCTGGCCAGGTGCCAGTGACTTCTCTGGCCCTGGGGGCATGCAGCCGCCTTGCCTCTGCTGGGTGAGGGAGCAAGCGGTGGTCTAAAAGAGCTGAATCAGAACAGCCAGGAAGGTTTTAGAGTCACAGAATTCAGAAAAAGAATTCAGAAAGACCTTCTTGAGAAGCAACTATAGGCTTGAAAATCCCAAGGTGAAAATGCCAGTTCATAGCAGGTTGCTATGTTTTTCTGGGGTACTTCAAAAAACAAAGGATCCAAACTTGCCAAGTTTGGATCTCTAATCATCCACATGAAGGCTGGGCAGGTGTGATGGTTTCCCTGTAATCTCAGCACCTGAGAGGCAGAGGGGGCACCCTCTAGCAAACTAGCTAGCTCTATCAGCTGAACTAGTGAGCTCTAGCTTCAGTGAGACCCTGTCTCAGTACATAAGGATAAAGTAAGAGCCAGCAGGGAGGCTACTGAGGTCAACCTTGGCCTCCACAAGCCACACAGCCACCCTCTATGTGCGCTCACATATATGTAAACACACATACACATGAAAAAGGATGACTCAGAAGAAATTTTCCTGAACTGATCACATAGACTTGCTGGCATGACGACACAACTTTGGATGATTCTTTTGGTACCTATTAAGGTCTGGACCATACACTATTTCAAGACCATGGAGCCACCAACTCTGAAGACACGAACATGTATCTGAGATCATGGAATCCTCTTTGTATCGCCTGGATGGGTGTCGCGCACCTGTAGCCCCAACACTCAAGAGGAAGAGAACTGGGTGTATGCGGGTGTGCGCAGAGGCCAGAAGGCATGGAATCCTCTGGAGATGGAATTACAGGCAAGTTGTGTTCTGTCTGATGTGGGCCCTGAGAACCAAACTCTTAACTCTTGCTTTTACTTATTTAAAAACAAAAACAAACAAACAAAACAACAACTGCATTTTGAGATGATTAACGATTCACTGGAAACTGTAAAAAATAGTACATTGACCTTCCATTGGGTGACCTTCCTTTACCCAATTCTCAGCAGTGGTTACTTTGTAGCTAATGAGATGGACCAAAATATCAAGCCAGAAAATGACAATGGCACAACATGGGTACAGCTCTGTGTTTTATCTCCTGTGTGGATCTCTGTCAACACGCGGGGGGGAGGGGTGTCCATTGCCGCACCCTACTACGCTCCTCTCAGAACTGTAGCTTCTCTGCCTCTGCCCGAGCCATGCCAGTCCCTGGCAAACACTGATGTGTCCTCTCCTCTAAAACTCTGTTGTTATTGCTTCTCGGCCTTTTGGCTAAGATCAAGTATAAAACTCTATTGTTTTATAAATGCTACATTTTATATAGACCCTTTTAGAAATCAGATTTATTCCAGTTACCTTACCTATGAGCGTGGCCTTTGGAAACTGGCTCTTTAAAAACAGAGTCACCACAGTGTTCTATGAGCCATCCAAGTTACTGAGGCTATATCAGTAGTCTGGTTCTTGTTGCCCAGTGGTACTCCCTGGTCAGTTCGCCGTCCACCCATGGAAGGACATTTTTGTTGTTTCTAGCACTTTGCCATTAAAAATAAAGTTTCTATCAATGTTTTTGTATAGGGTTTTGTGCAGGTGCAAATATGTTTCTCTGTGACAAGTGTCAAGGAATGTGACAGCTACGTTGTATAAGTTTTATGCTTTGTTTTTAAAGATACTTCCAAACTACCTGAACACAATTCTTTTTATCTGTTTGAGTGTTTTGCCTGCATGAATATCTGTCTACCACACATGTGTTTGGTACATAGAGTTTGAAAAAAAAAAAGAATAAGACGGAGGTGTGGGTTAGCATGTAAGAATGCTGAATCCTAGAGGAGAGCCTGGGAGCTTGTGTGAGGGGTTGTGGAAGAGGTGATGGGTAGTGGCAGACAGCATGGCTCCTGTGCAGTGAGTAAGCTGGGTAAGGCTCAGGTGGAGGCAAAGGCCAT